GGCGACAGGGCTCTCTGTGGATGCGTTCGGATTTCCGCCAAACCCTGTGTGGGCGGCCCAGCTGCGACCCGGGCCGGCCCAGAAGGGTCTTTCGGGACCTGGATCTGACTGACTGACGTCACGGGGGCTGGGGATGCGGGTGACTGGGCAGCAGGAGACCTCGGTCTGCATGTTGTCCACCCTCCACACTGGCGGACTGGAAGCCAGCCACTGTCTCCGGCCGGAGCGGGCTGTAAGCAGTGCAGTCCTCCCTTCCAGGGCCCCCCGAGCCGCAGGCAGCAGGCAGCAGACTCGCTGAAGGGGCACACCTCGTATCAGATGGGTCTGGGGAACCGCCCACCGGAGGAGGCTCTGCAGAAGCTTCTGGAAGGTGTGATGTGCAGCCCGTGGGCCCAGGCTACGTGGAGGAGGTAACTGCCAGGCAGCCGTCGTGATGGGGCCATCGGTGTGCGCCCGCCCTGTCACTGGGCCGTGGCAGAGGATCTGGGCAGGGCCCAGACTTCAAGATCTCGCCCCGCTCTCCACCTGAGGTATACACACCTGTCCACGGGAGAAGCCCGCGGGAAGGCCCGGGCCCTGGGCTTCAGATCCTGAGACAGACCGGCACTTCCTGAGCCTTTTCCCGCTGGGAGGAAGGCAGAAAGGGGGATCTGTGTCCTGCCAAGCTTCTCCCCGCAGGCACGCGATTCTCGGGCTTTAGCAGCCGGTGTGCACCCTGCGTGGCCAGCATCTGACACCCAGAGCCCCGGCAGTGGCCCTGCAAGGCCTGCCTCCAGCAGCCTTCTAGAACCAGACTTGGAAGCCGCCTCCCCGGCCGGCCGCTTCCCCGCTTCCGTAGTCCCAGCCTCACCTCCTCCTCCTCCTCCGTGGCTGAAAGCATTAGTGTTTCTTCTGTCCTCAGGGTGATGTTTTTGTTTGACCAATTCAGCATCTTCTGTTTTGTCTGGAGAAATAACCACCCAGATAGATTGCTGCCACGGGAGGCCCTGTGGTTGGGCAGTTAGGAGATAGTAAGGTGCTGAAAAGCCTGAGGAAACACAGAAGGGGCCTGTGATGGGTGGAAATCACCATGGGGCGGAGGCCAGAGCCCTGCGGGGACCGGCCTGGGCCGTGGGTTCTGTTGCCTGGGGTGGGGGTGGG